TAGTATGTTAATTAATATCTGCTTTTTATTATTTACTTCTATTTTCCTGAGATTTTGCTATTCTTTTTATAACCCAGTACAAAGAACATTAATCTCATTTGTTTTTAGGCTGTCTAATAAAAATATTTGGATAATAAATTTCCCTTGCTGGCATCTCACAGATTCGTAACACAGTATTCTTAGTTAGGTAAAAATATTTTCTAAATTGCATCACAAGTTGTTATTTTGACCCATGAATTATCCATAAGTATACTTAAGACCTTATATCGTTATCTTTTGTCACTGATTTTCCAATATAGTCATTCATACTCAGGATGTACAGTACAGTAGAGCAAGGTCTTGGTGTAGTACAGTATCAAGTTTTTTTGTTGTTGATCTTTGTTTTTTGCACAGTACTAGGGATTGAACACAGGGCCTCATGTATGCTAGGCAAGTGGGTTACCACTGAGATACCTCCCAAGTCCATTTTGTTTATTTTTAGACAAGATCTTGCTAAGTTGCCCAGGTTGGGCTTGACCTTGCAATACTACCTCTGTCTTCTGAGTAGCTGAGATTACCACACCTATCAAATTTTTGAAATGTGAACACTTCTTTATTGCCAGTACAGAATTCCCTAAATATTATATATGAGCATGTAAGAATTTTTTTAATGGTTGGGTATTGGGTTGTAGAATATGTCTAACAGATCAACCTTGTTAAAATCTTATGATACTGATTTTTATCTCCCTGTAAGTTTCTGAGAGTCAAACATTAAAATTTAACTATCATGGTAGCATTCTCTATTTCTTTTAAACTTGTATGTTCTTTTTTCTCTTCCTCCCTTTTTTCTTTTTCTTTTTTTTCTTTTTGTACTGGGGATTGAATCCAGGGCCTTCACACTGAGCTGTATTCCCAGCCCTTTTTATTTCTACTTTTGGGACAGGGTCTTGCTAAGTCACCAAGATGCTCAGGTTGGTTTGAGGTTGCAATTCTCTTGCCTTAGCATTACAGGTGTGCACTAAAATGCCTGGCTTAAATTTAAATTTTTAATTTATACTTTTTAGACTAACTCTATTTTGAGATCACAGAAGTCTTCTGTGCTGATGGCTGTGGTGTGAGAGTAAATGAATACAGTTTATTTTTCCTACACAGTGCGCTTCTAATTAGAAGAGCTCTCTCTTTCCACCATGTGAGAACATGAACAAGATGACAGTATGAAACCAGAAACAGGGCCTCTGGCAGGGATTTAGCTCAATGGTTCTACCACCTGCTTCACAAGCACAAGGTCCCCAGTACCAAAAAACAAAACAAAACAAAAACCCAGAAATAGGGCCTCCACCAAACCTGATCATGCTGCCACCCTGGTCTCAGATACTTGCTTGAGAAGTAAACTTCTGTTATTTAGGCCACTTAGCCTATGGTATTTTGTATAGAAATCCAAACTAGGATAACTAACTGGATCTGTGTTTTAAACTGTTAAATTTTTCACACCCAGCATGTAAGCCAGAAGGGCACGTTCATGGGTCTGCCAGTTCTTGGAGATACCAGCTTTGAATTCACCAACACCAGCAACAACAAATAGGACAGCACAGTCAGCCTGAGATGTGCCTGTAGTCATGTTTTTGATAAAGTCTCTGTGTTCTGGAGCATCAAGGACAGTCACACAATACTCACTGGTCTCAAATTTCCACAAGGAGATGTCAATAGTCATACCACACTCACACTCAGCTTTCAGTTTATCCAAGACCCAGGCTTACTTGAAAGAACCCTTCCCCATCTCAGCAGCCTCCTTCTCAAAATTTTCAATGGTTCTTTTGTCAGTGCCACCACATTTGTAGATCAGATGGATGGTAGTGGTGGATTTACCGACATACACGTGTCTGATGATGACAATACTGATACGAGTCTTTTCCTTTCCCGTGTTGGCTTTGATTTATTTAGTGGTGGTTTTCACTACACCTGTGCTCTCATGGCAAATCCGTTATGAAAATGCCCTTATGACTTACATGCTGGGTATGAAACAACTAATTGTTGGAGTTAAAAAAAATGGTTCCACTGAGCCAGCCTACAGCCAGAAGAGATGTGAGGAAACTGTAAAGGAAGTCAGCACCTATATTAAGAAAATTGGCTACAACCCACAGTAGCTTCTGTGCCAATTTCTGGTTGGAATGATGACAACACACTGGAACCAAGTGCTAACATGCCTTGGTTCAAGGGATGAAAGGTCACTCGTAAAGATGGTAATGCCAGTGGAACCACACTGCTTGAAGCTCTGGATTGCATTCTGCCACCCACTTGCCCAACTGACAAGCCTTTGCAGCTGCCCCTCACGATGTCTACAAAATTGAGGTACTGGTACCATCCTGTGGGCTGAATGGAGACTGGTGTTCTCAAATCTGGCATGGTGGTCACCTTCACACCAGTCAATGTCACAACTGAAGCAAAGTCTGTTTAAGTGCACCATGAGGCTCTGAGTGAAGCGCTTCCTGGTGATAATGTGGGCTTCAACGTCAAGAACATGTCTGTCAAAGATGTTCGTGATGGCAACTTTGCTGGTTACAGCAAAAATGAACCAGTAGTGGAAGCAGCTGGTTTCACTGTTCAGATGATTATTGTGAACCATCCAGGACAGATGAGTGCTGGCTGTGCCCCTGTACTGGATTGCCACACAGCACACATGGCTTGCAAGTTTGCTGAGCTGAAGGAAAAGATTAATTGCCGGTTTGGTAAGAAGCTGGAAGATGTCCCCAAATTCTTGAACTGTGATGATGCCGCCATCATTGACATGGTTCCATGAAGCCCATGTATGTCAAGAGCTTCTCTGAACTCTGGGTCATTTCACTCTTAGTGATACAAGACAGATGGTTGCTGTGGGTGTCATCAAAGCAGTGGAAAAGAAGGCTACTGGAGCTGGCAAGGCCAGCAAGTCTGCCCAGAAAGCCTAGAAGGCTAGATGAATATTACCCTAACACCTGCCAACTGCCTTAATCAGTGTTGGTGGAAGACTGGTCTCAGAACTGTTACTATTAAATTGAAATGGCCAACTGGGAGGAAAAGACTGGTTAATGATAACAATGCGTCATAAAATCTTCAGAAGGAAAGAATGTTTTGTGGACCATTTCTTTTTGTGTGTGTGTGACCAGTTTTAAGTTACTAGTTTTGAAAATCACTTTTTATTGCAAACAACTTGACCAAAAATCTGTCACAGAAGTTTGAGACCCATTAAAACAAAGTTAATGAGAAAAATAAATAAATAAATGGCTAGATCTTCCTGGTGACCGTGGATTTGTTTGCTTGGGGTCTGTGTATGACTGCAGCTACGTCAGTCAGGAGTCAGCTGAAAGTTCAATAATCTGACATGTAGGACAGCTCAGTGACATGACTAGCACTTGTTGCTGGCTGTTGGCTGGAGCTTAATGCTGTTTAGATTTCTTACATGACAATGGCTACAATTCTATAATGGAGCACCCTGAGTAGGAGTGGCAACAGACAGAAGTCACTAGGCCACTTACAGGCTATGTCCTTAGTCATGGAACCGTATTCTATACCCAAAGCAATCCTACTCCTTTCCCACATTGAAGGACTAAGAAGAAAATGCTTGGGGTGGTTGTGTGGCAAGGTAACACTGCAGCAGAGCTCATAGGGACGAGAGATACTGGCATTCTTTAGGAAACACAATCCCATACAATGAGCTTGTATGGATACTTTTCTTTTGAAGTACTCAGATGCTAAATTCTGAGATATAAAACCTTCTGGATTGCTCATATATGTTTTGAAATAAAAGATATAATACCACATACTCTAAGAGCAAGCTCCTTCCAAATTTTAATTATTCCTTGATGTAAAGTAGCCCAGAAATACAGGTACTGTTTTATCTGCATGTTCTTTTTTCAAGAATATAAAATTATCAAGCCAACTTGCATTTCTTTCATGCTTACCCTCACCTCACTTTCCTAAGTACTGGAGAGCACAGTGTGCATTTCTTAAATACCAACGATGAGCTATGGTACCAGAGAGCTAAATGTAATCCATTCCATATTAATTTTTTTCCACATTTTTTTTTTTTTGGTTTTTTGAGACAGGGTTTCACTATGTAGTTGAGGCTGACCCGGAATTTACTTGTAGCTCAGGCTGGCCTCGAACTCACAGCAATCCTCCTGCCTCAGCCTCCTGAATGATGGGATTACAGGTGTGAGCCGCCATGCCTGGCTTTTCCACAAAACTTTTAAAAATACTGACAATCAATACTAAGAATGAGAGTCACCTCCAGTGGAAAATATTTTTTCAATAAAGTTAATTTTTCTTTTTGTCTCCTGAGTTATCAGTCTTGTCACATTAACTGCCTGCTTATTTGTCTCTCTCTCTCTCTCTCTCTCTCTCTCAAAACAGATTTAAGTCTCCTACAAAGTTAGGGAGCATGTCTTTCTTATTCACTATTATATTCACCGTAGCAAACACAATACCTAGCACATAGCAGGCACTGAATAGAGGAGACCCTAGCTAGTAATAATTTTCAAATTTTATTTGTAGTAGTGAATGAGTTGGTTCTTTTTCACACTGACAATTTACTTAAAATAGACCTTGCCCAAATAGTTGGGTGTTTTTGTCATGATGACTACAGTGAATGTGGGTCTACCTTACTAGTTCAGAGAAGTCAAGGTAAATGATAGTTACAATAAAAAGATGGCTTATTAAAATGCTTTAAAAATGACTTCTTACCTTAATAGCAGAAACTGTATTCAAGAGATAACCCTGAATATAAAACTGGAAAAACATCTAGATGTGAAAGAGCACATTAATTATTTAGTGGAATCACTACTTTATGTACTACAGTATGAATTTCTTCTTTTCAAGAGCACATTTCTGTGTTGGTTACCTGCAAAGGAAGTAGAGAGCCGTAATGGTGAGAGTGACCAGAACAGCCAATGCCACAAAAGCTGTGAACAGGTTACTTTTGGTTTGGATGCTGGAGCTTGGAAGAAAAACCTCTTCACAACGTGCTCCTGTGTAATTTTCAACACACCTGTAGGATAAAATTTCAGACAGAGAGTGTATCTATATTCAGTTAATGATGTGCACAGCAAGAGATTTCCAGCTGGTAGAAGGAAGGAGACTAATTTTCAGATTGCTGAATACAGAATAACATGCTGTTCTAACATATTTACAGAGCTAGTTACAATAAAACATACAGTATTAATTTATGAAGTTTAATATTTATTATCTTTTTAAATGTTCTAATGGCTTGGGAACACCAGATAAATTATAAAGTAATCAGTCTTCTAGAGTTTCTTCTTTTCTTTTTGAGACAAGGTCTTGCTATGCTTCCCAGGCTGCCCTTGAACTACTGGTCTTAAGCATTCCTTCTGAGTCCCCCGTGTAGCTGGCAGTACAGGCACCACCACCACAGCGCCCAGCTTATCTTCTAGATTTTCAGTGATGTAATTGTCCATATCTAATTCTAATTCACCTAAAATTTGTTGTATTTGGATTTAAATGAATTTTTCCTCTAAATTAGTAATTGGTTATTCCAACTCCACCATTAGATAAACCTTTACCCACCACTTCAACATTGCCTTCTTTAACATATATCAAGTTTATATAAGTAACAGCATTTATTTCTATTCTTCAATTATGTACACATCTAAACCTTGGCCTCTACCACACTAGTTCAATACTGCGACTTTATAGTATGTTTTAAAATCTGGTATTTCCTTTTTTCTTTTTATTTATTTATTTATATTATTATTGCTTTTTTTTGGTACCGGGGATTGAACTCGGGTCCTTGTGCTTGCAAGGCAGGCCACCAAACCGCTGAGCTAAATCCCCGGCCCTTATTTATTTATTTATTTATTTATTTATTTATTTATTTCCTCATTGAGTTTATTGGTACATAGGTATACAGTACAGTTACATTCATCATTGGGATCTTGTATCTTTACACGATAGGTCTTGGTTCTCATCTTTTCCCCTTATCCCTGCCCTCCCTTCACCCCCCCCTTCCCTATTTACAAATACTTTATTTCCATTTTTTCATTTTCTCATGTTGGTATTTCCTTTTTTAGAACACATTTTATATTCTCATTCACCAACAAAAATATTTCAAAGCCAATTATTTTTAGCTTCCTAGAATTCTATGACAAGGCTAGGAGTGTAGCTTAGCAGTAGCGTGTTTACCTTGCATCCAAAAGTTCCTGGGTTCAATTCCCCAGCACCACAGAAATAACAAAAAAAATTTTTGAGCATCTCCCATTGTATGACACAGAACTTGAATCTTTAGTACTACCAGTCAGTTCCTTTTCCCCAATGAATGTATTCAAAGGATTATAAAATACAAAGATTGATCTAAGTGAACAAGAGTGACACTGGCACCAGATCATTTCCTATTCTGTGGTTACACTGAAAATAATGTTTTAACATAATTAATGTTTATTTATAAAACATTCTAAAAAGGTACAAAATAAACTTGTAAAAGTTACCCTTAGCAGCAATGCTGTGTAAATAAGTGTATGTCCGTGCACACATATATATGCACATATACTTTAAGCTGGTTTTATTGAATACAGAGTTTGATTTTACTAAATTAACTCTCCTCTTTCCCTCTTTCCAGATGAGAACTTTTATCTCCATTTCTCCCACCTCGGACTAATAAGGATACAGACCTAGAAAGTTACACATGAACTCATTACTACTTTTGACAAGAATGTCATAGACTAAGAGTATACATATAAATAAGAGAAAAGAATACCAAGATAAAGCACATGGAATCATTTTTAGTTAAATGAGCACATGAAAGGGGTTTTATGAACCTCAAACCCCACTTCATGTGAGGTGAGTAGCTTTAGGGTCATAGCTTCCACTGAGTGTGTCAGTCTGGCCAGAGAAGCAGTCTAGATTTTTCTCAGACTACCTTAAAGATGGGGAGACACAGGAACAGTAACAACAGGATAAGGGTGGCAAACTGAAATATTTTGGGGTGAATCACAACTGCCTAAGGCTTAAACACAAAATACCAATTTTCCCATAAATCCATTAAGCAAATATAAAGAGAACGTAAAATGAAAATAGTTTCTTTCTCCTACATCTCCCACTTCCTAAAAGGGGAAACACACACACACACACACACACACACACACACACACACACAGAAGTCAGCACAGCCGTGGTTGCAGTCACCTGCACAAATAATGAAAAAGGGTCTAAACTTAGTTTAAAAATCTATCTTGAGTGACCAAGAAGTACAATAAAAACTCTTCTTAAATTTGCTTTTGTTTGTAAACAGAAATCTATAATATTTATACCTTCTAAAAGTTTTTTAAAAGTTTAGCTAATGAAAATTGTCACAGTTCTAAAATAATCAAGATTTTAAAAAATGTTTAAACCATGGTTCAGTTTCCATTTTAGAAAAAATAACTTGAACCTGCCACAAACAAACCACAAAACTACACAGATTCTTTCTGACAAGGAAGATTTCCACCTAAAAAACTATGAACAGCACCTGCGCACACACCGGGAGGGCTACCATAGAGCTTGGGTGCACATGTGCCCTGAGCAGCCGCCACTTTCTCAGCTCCCCTTAGAGTTTCCATGTCTGACTCCACCCTGCCACCTCCAGCCCACACTGTCTGTTGTCACTGCCCACAGACACCTGTGAGGAAATCTGCTGACTGGTGTGACACAGATGCACAGAGATGTCCTGGCAGGGGAGGAGGAGAAAGACGACTCCAAAGCAGAATACTAGCCGCTCAGTCCCGAGGCTCAGGGGGCTGCACCGGAGTGTTGTGGATCCTGGGTCTGAGTGAGCAGTGCCACGCACACAGCATAGCAGTGGTCAAGTACGAATAAAGACGATTCCTCCCATCCCTGCCTCAGGCTTGCAGAGACTGAGACCTTCCATTTCTTGCCCACCAGCCAACAAGCATGGGCAGAACTGGAACTGCAAGTGGTCTCCACAACTCCCACATGATGTCAACACAAGAATCAAACTGAGGCTTACATCTGGGGCTCTCTTCAGTACCCTGCAGGAATGCTGGAAGATCTGAGAAGTCTGAACCAAAAGGTGGAAGTGAACCAGAGCATGGTGACTCAGGAGAAGTGCTTCCCTCTTGGTGGGAGAGGGCTGAGGTGAGAGGCATACCAGAAGGCTCAACTTGAGCTGGAAATGTCTTGGACATTTTCATTATTGTCAAAATTGGGTCTCTTTGGGAACTTGGAAGAGGGAAAGCTGGTTTTAAGATGGCCAGGGCATGCAAAAAACAGAGGGCTCCTTTTTATCCACTGTTACAGTGAAGCTAGGCGTTGCTCACCCAGGGCACCTCTCCGCAGGCTCACAGGTTTGACTAAAGTATCATTTGGAGAAAGAGAGGCCAGCACCCTGGCCTGAACAAATGAGAGCAGAGCCCCAGCAGGCAGGAAAGAGGTTTATCTTAGGCTGTACCTTCAGTGTGCGGCCCACTGGACTGGTCCAGTATCTGATGGTGGAGGGCATTCATCTAGCACAGACATGAGTGTCAGTGACAGGATGATTCTGGGTGCTGTTTTGCCACAACAGCCCTGGTCTGAGACTCATCTACTCCTAATAGGGCTCTCCATCTCTCCTACTCCAGTCCTTTACAGTAGTGCGACAATGCCTCCTTACATTACATTTTGAGCATCAAAGACATTCCAAAGTTTTTCAAATAAGCCAGATGTGGTGCCATAGGCCTATGGAGCTGAGGCAAGAGGACTGCAAGTTTGAGCCCTGCCTGGGCAACTTAGTGACTTAATGAGACTCTGTATCAAAATAAAAAATTAAAAAGGTTTGGGGGTCCCAAGATAAATGTATTCATTATATATTGCAAACATGTTCTAAAATGGGGGGACTGAGAACATAGTTCAGTGCAAGGGAATACCCAGTATTACCAATAAGTAAACAAATAAATGCATGCTACCCCCAATAAAAAGCTATAAACACACTATTTATTCATGTTACTTAATTAAAGCTATTCAGTTTAGATAAGATTAGACATCAAAGAAAACAAACTGACTGATATAACTTATGTAAATGTTTTATCTAGATAATAAGTATTCTGAGTTGAAAGGATAGGGAGAATGCTGTATATGTAAGTTTAGTGTCAGATTAGGATTTAAGCAGACAGAAAAAGGTGTATGAACACCAGGTTCCTACTGTCATAGCAGGAGCAAAACTGTGCTCTTGTAGGAAAAGTAAATTCCTGGTGGTAACTTTAAGTACAGCAAAGTCAAGAGAAAACATCTTGTTATTTGTTTAGTCAAATCCAAATTTAGAGAATGGGGGACAAATTGAAATATACCGTTATCCAAGAAGTGGGACTAGCTAACCTAAAAGTGAATTTTAAACTTTCAGTAAATAACGGCCTACCAATGATTATGTATAAGGAGTCTACTTTTAAAGTTCTAGCTCATTTATAAAAGTTTTATGACCTCAGTTATAAGTATCAATTTCAGGCAAACATAACTCCATTACAGATTAATAAGGGTGAATGAAGTAGAGACAGACAATTGATATTACTAGCTGAGACAAAACACAGAAAAATCAAGTGTTGCACCAGCATTTATAGAGAATTAAGTAGCTCTTGTCTTTATATAACTCTCTTGCCAAACTCTTTCAGGCATTATTTCCACACAGACTGCCAAGCAGCAAACAGCTGTACCACCTAAGTAGGTGAATACCAAGCACTAAGGAGTCACACACATTTTACTAGAATTGAAGATTAATGTTGCAATAGATACAAATATTCAACAAGATAAGAAACTCCAAAACTCAGAATCCACATGACAAATTGGTTTTACAGCGGGAAATCACCAACAATCTGACCCTAAACAAGACATGGTTAGTACACTGGACATGAAATAAACTCATCAGATTCTATAGTGTCCAAGGTTAGTGGTCACAACATTTGGCATGAATGAAAGAATCAAGTCTGAATCATATGAAAGGTGTGCCATTTAGCATAAAGAAGGAACACTGGACTGTGAGCTGGGAAAAACTAGTTTCTTCATGCTTGT